TCCTCCTCATGGTTCCGGCTCAGGGTCAGTGTCCAGTCAGCTGAGGACACTGTGCTGTTGACAGTGGTCACACGGGCTGTCGTGGGGGGGTAGTCAGGTTGCCTTGTCCCCCTCAGTCCCTCCTGGGGACACTGTCCTCCATGGAAGTGGGGCACCTGCTTCTTTCTCTAACCCTGAAGGATGGGGCAGGATGAGACTGGGCTGGGGGTGTGCCCTGTAGACAGGGCTGCCGTTCAGCTGGCTTCTGGATGCTGCGGAGCTTCCTCCGGGAGAGAAGAGGAGCAGGGTGTGGGCGGTGTCGGGTGGGGTCCCCAGACAAGCACAGCTGGCATCTGGCTGGGCCTCCTGAAGGTGCCAGGTGCTTTCTTCCATTTGTTCTCTCCAGTCCTGACTTTGTCCTGTGACCCTGGAGTGACAGACACCTGGCAGTACTGGGCAGCTCTGTGGGCTGAGGGCAGCCTCCAGGATGGGGCAGGGCAGGGCAGAGACGGTGCCTGGGTGAGAGATGGTGGACTCGGCCAGCTCTGTCCCCCCTCCTTGTCTCAATCCCAGTGCCTCTGTTTCCCCAGCTGTAAGAGAGAACACTGCACTTCGGGTGCAGGCTCAGTGACCCAGGCTAGGCTGGGGTGGGTGCCTGGGCCAGCAAGGCCCACCTGTCTGTCAGTCAGCCCAGGAAGCTCCAGATTAGGTGGTTGATGAGTGATCACCTTTGGCCCCATTCACAGCCCTCCCTCCTTGCCTCGAGCAGGTGATAGCAAGGGACAGCTCATGTGGGGTCCACCCGAATTGTGCTCAGAATCCCAGGGAAGCAGTGTCATGGGAATTTGGATTTTCAACCCAATGCTGGGTCTCACTCTAGAAGCACAGTCCTGATGGGATCTTGCCCACCTTGTACCTGGTAGGGCTGGTGGGGAGGGAAAAGGCCCCAGCTCCCCAAGCTTCTCCCCAGAGCTCGGTCAGGTGCCTCAGGGCAGCTTCCCTGGCTCCTCATGTGCAGATTTAAGGGGTGCCTAAACTTGGGGCTGGGCCCTGGGGTCCTGGGCCCTTTGACAGCCTCCCTGTCCCAGCCCTGCCTGGCTGCCATCTGGGAGGCGAGGAAGATGACTTTGGTAGGTTCAGACTTTCCTGGTCCCAGAGCGGCTCCCAAACCTGCGTGTAGGGCTGAGCCAGACCATGTCCCCCCAGGTCAGGGAGCCCCCTCCCAGCCCATGCTCTCCCGGTACCTCCTATCTCAGCACTCGGACCCCACTGGACACCGGCTCACTTGCACCTGCATGCTGAGAAATTAACTAAGGACAAGCTGTCCCCTGGGATCATCGGGGCCTGGGATTGTCCTGCCCTCCTGGGGTTTCTCTTCCCTTCTAATGCGTGGCCTTGGCTTTTCTAAAATCCATAGTTTCGGAACCAGGGAGCACATGGCTCCTGAGTTTATCAGAGCTCCGTCCTGTCTGTCTCTGGTTTCCATTTCACTCTGAGCAAGGGAGAGGCATCTGCATGCTCTCCTCACAGATGGAGCTGTGTGTTGCAGCTGAGCTATCCACACGTGGGGTGGGGAACAGCTGGTTCGGGAGGTGGCAGCGCTTGACACTGAGGTATAAAGGAGACCCAGTGCGTGCACACGCCATCGTGAGGAACTGCAGGAAGCACAGGTGCTCTTCAAGTGCCCCTTGCCCTGGTGCCCAGGAGGCCCAGGCCACTGCCAGAGCAGGGTGCAGAGGCTGGCATGGCCTGTCCACCTTGGGCTGCTGCCCTATGCTAGGCTCTGTGCCATGGGTCTGCGTGTCCCCAGCTGAGGACACCGAGCAAAGCCACTGCTTCCTCCTGAAACCTTGCCCCACCCTCCCACCTGCCCCAGTGTGAGGTCGGCTCGAGGCTCAAGAGCTACCCTCTGCTCCCCGCTCTCCAGCTCCAGGGCCTTAATCCATGCTCCCACTGCCAGCCATCCCTCTCCACTACCTGGACCTCCCAGCCCTGGACTCAACCGCAGGGTGAGGGCCAAGGACAGGGTGCAACCAGCCCCAGAGAGCAGCTGGGTTTTGTCACTTCTCTGAAACATTGTGCGAGATCACTGATGGCGGCTCCCACTGACCAGGCTGAGTCCTGCGGTCTTGGCGTGGGACCCACCAGGGACAGATCCGCCTGGCAACGATGGCTCCTGCAGCTGCCTCCCAGGACGTGGCACTCTTGGCTATGCTGCGGCCGCGTGCTTGCGGGTCGACCGATCAGGCTGTCTCCCCTCTTCCTCCTGTTCTCTTTCCTCCCACTCTTTGTTTCATTTTAGTAGACTTCCCCGCCCCCCAAGCAAGGTCAGCAGGGATGGCCCCAGACACAAACCCTCAGCCTGAGATCACAGCAAAACTCAGACAGGGCTCCTGATAGGTTGATGGCCAGTGACGCAGGGCCTGGGTTTCCAAAGGCACGGGGAGCTCACTAAGAAGTGTCCCCACAGTCATGGGACCCTAGGAACCTGGCTCAGGATGACCAGCTTAGAGGTCGTCCTGGCTGGAGCCTGTGGCTGAGGGCGGCTGATCTTTAAATCCACCATCTCTGGTTGCCCTGGTGACCCCAAAGTGCTGAGCGGTTGGGGCCCAGTTCCCTGAGGACTCTGGCACCTCCGTGCTGCTTTTCTGCTTCCTCTGTGGCCGTTGGGGCCAGTCCTTCCACCTTATGCTCGCAGGATGTTTTCCGCACACTAATTAGGCCCCCTCTCATCCACCTTTGAAAGAGGAGCTCTCTCTCCGGCCAAGGGGACTCGAAATGGAGACCTGGGTTTTCCTGGCGGCTGCAGGCAATCACTTAACCCCCGTGACCGCGGGGACGGGAGGCCAGGGCTCACGCAAACACACAGCCCCCTTTAATCAGCAGGAAGCACTGTGCTGTTCTGCGCTGCTTGCTTGGCCGGTGAATGAAACAAATCCATAAAGCATCGATTTTCCACCAGTAGGTGAGGGCCTTGGGGAAGTAGAATTCAAACAGAAAACAATTTTTTAAAGAGCCCCAAGAACATGCACTGGCCGGGGACAGTCCCCACCTGGCTGCAGCAGCCGCCTGATCTCAACCTGCTCTGGGCTCCTGGCAGAGGTGGCCACGCCCCGAATGGGTTAAGAACACTCTCGGGGACCGGGCTTCCAGCGCGATTTTGTTTGTGAGCTCTGTGCGGTTACCAGTTCCAAATAATAAGGTGGCATGTTAATTACCCCCCCTTCTAATTTACCTTTCTGCCCCACACAGTCGACGGGAAGGCGTACGGGGTGTGCTTTCAAACCTAAACAACTCGGGCTCTGGGCGGAGGCTCCGGGCGGCAGTTCTGTTGCCGCGTCTCTGAAAGGAGCCCACCAGCCAATTAAAAAGGAACCGTTGGCCACTTTAAACATAATCATTACTTCTGTGAATGCTGCTAAATTAAATAAGTGTTATCCACATGATTTTTTTCCCCCCATGACTTCAGTTTCTTTTGAAAGAAAACATTTTGTGACTTCTCCATTTGATCTGTTTGCAACCAACCCAAGGAACTGAAATCGTTTTTCTGGTACTTCGAAGTCATCTTCCCCCAGCCACAGAGGGCAGGGAGGAATGGCCGCCCAGGTCACTGCTGTGGGTTTGCAGATTGGCTTCAGGCCCGGGCCTGGGCGGACGATCTGGAGCGGGGCAGTGGGCACCAGCTAGGAGCAAGCCCTCCGCGCCCTGCACACCCTCCTGGCTGTATTCAGGGAGGCCAAGTTCATGTGACAAAAGAAGGAACCATTGTAGAATGAGCCGTTCAGCAGCCTTGAGCACGTGTGCCTTCTCAGGCTGCCGATGTGTGGCTCTGGGTAGCTCCAGACCCCCCTGCCACCCAGAGAGACCCAGTGCCCGCCAGCAGCCATGCCCTGTCCCCCGTGCGCACTGGGCTGCATCCTGTCCCTGTGGTCCTGCGGGGTGCGGGTGACCCGCAGACATGGGCTCACTCCCTATCTGCTTTTCTCACGGTGCCCAGCATATGTCTTTATTCTCGTGGGACAAATGGCTGCGTGTTTGTGGGCTGCACCTCGATGTTTCTATGCATGCGTATGTTGGGGAACAGGCTCACCAGGAGGTGAGCATAGCTGTCCTCGAAGTGGGGTTCAGGTCACAGAGTCATAGCTGGGAGTCGGTTCTGGTCTTGCGTTGCACAGTGACGTAGGTTTCCCAGTGGCTGCGAGAGGATTGGAGGGGCGTCGGTCACTAACCAATGCCCTGCCCAGCCCGTGGCAGCTCGTGGTGCTTTATCCCCACCGTGACTGTGTCAGTCCTTGGCTTGTCTGCTGATGGACCTTGGGTGGCTCCTGCTGTCTGGCCACTCCCACCAGCCACCAGCTGAGTCTCCCTTGGGTGCTTTGGGCAGATACTGGGACAGGGTGGCTTCTTTCTGTCTGACCTGCGCCCCTCCATTCTGCCAGGTTGCTTCCAACCCTGCATGCCTCAGTCTACCCTCTCTGTACTCAAAGGGGCACAATTCTATATCATCTTCCATCCCAGAGAGGCTGGGGGCCCTGTTCGGTTTGTGCAGTTCTGTGACCTGCACCCCTGTGAGACCCAGGCAGGGACCCAGGAAGCCTGCCCTTCACCTGCCCCAAGCTCTTTCCGCCAGGCTCTCTGTACAGGGCCAGCTGGCTCTGGTGGGATGTCCACAGAGGCCACACACTGGGGCAGGAAGTCTGGACAATCTGCACATGAACCTTAGTTCTGAGGTCTCCTAAGAACTTAGGGTCCCAGCCCCTCCTCCTTCCAAGGCTGAAGGTGAGAGCCGCATGGTTCTGGAGTGAATATTTCAGCTCACTCTGTACTGCTGCATCGTGCTGCCTGGTTAAAGTGTTGACTCTTGCATTAATCCCCGGCTTCTTGCTCGGGGTGCACAGAGACAGTGTCTGTCGCGCAGGATGGTGGCAGGGCCAGCCGAGTGTGGTGGTGCCTGGGTCCTGGGAGGGCCCAGCTCCTGGGTGTGTGTGCTACAAATGCTGACATCACTTTATCTCATTTAGGTGACGGAGACATTGTAAATAATATGTATGAGCCCGACCCAGACCTGCTGGCCGGCCAGAGTGCCGAGGAGGAGACCGAGGACAGCATCCTGTCCCCCATCCCCATGGGGCCGCCGTCCCCCTTCCCCACCAGCGAGGACTTCACCCCCAAGGAAGGCTCACCCTATGAGGCCCCCGTCTACATTCCCGAAGACATTCCGGTCCCACCCGACTTTGAGCTTCGGGAGTCCTCCATCCCCGGGGCCGGCCTGGGGATCTGGGCCAGGCGGAAGATGGAAGCTGGGGAGAGGTTCGGCCCCTACGTGCTGGCGCCCCGGGCTGCGCTGAAGGAGGCTGACTTTGGATGGGAGGTGAGCATGATTGATCACGGTCATTTATCTTGTGTTCAATCTATTTATAAAGCCGGGTGAGCAGCAGCCGCCTGAGACGGGAGCTCGGTGGGTCGGAGAGAGTGTGCAAATGTCACATTTCCCAGGGTTATTTTATCCTGTGGCGCGCATGACGCGACTCAGAAAACATTAGCGGTCCTCCTGGTGGATGCCTGTTGGCCCCGCAGGCTCCTCCCGGAAATGTGTCTTTCATGAGCTCATGTCTTAAAACATCGCGCACCCGCGCCGGACACTAGGTGCTAACATGCCACCACTGTCAGTGGGGAGATTGACTCCACTGGCCCAGGGCGGTATTTGGCTGTGGGGCTCCATCCTGCCCTGGCTACCTAGGGCAGCTCATGAGACCTGGGCAGCTTGTGCCTGCCCACAGATACCCCAGGCTCCTGCCCAGCCTGGAGAGGGCCCTGCCTGCCCAGAAGGTGCAGGAGCCCTTGTGGGTCAGGAAGGGAATGGTGTCTTGGGCCAGACAGGCCGGCATCTCCAAAGATGTCACTGCATCGTCCAGAGGTGTCCTGCTCAGGCCACAAGCAATGCTGAGCCCAGGGCCGGGAGGTCTCAAGGTGGCATCATAGTTACTAAAAGCACCCTAGAAACATGCTTCCTCACAGGCCTGGCCTTCCTGCTGGCCGCACACATCACGTTTCTGTGGTATTTTTGGCGGGGACCTCAGCAAATGGAACGTAAATGCAAACCCTTCCTGGGGCCTCACAGCCTCCAAACTGCTGGGCCCTCAGGTCAGGGGCGGGAAGGGCAGAGGCATGGTGGCTGGGACCTGGCCCCACGGCAGGGCAGAGTGTGAGCGTGTATGGTGCAGGGGTCCGGGCTCAAAGCAGTTTTGGAAAAGTTTCCAAGCTGATCTGCAGAAAGAGGGCGACTTCAGGTCTTCGAGTTCATCTCCTAGCTCCCTGGAGATGCCAGATCCCAGCACCCGATTCTGAGGCCCAGGGAGGCCCTGAAACCCAGCATGGGGGCTGGGATGTGTTGTTGGGCCCATCAGGGAGGCAGGAAGAGGCTATGCATCCCAGCATTGAGGCCTCGCAGGGATCCTCACTTTTCAAAGTGTATGTGGGGTCCCTGGTAGCACAGGGCCTTGTGTGGCTTCATCTTGAACATCAACCTGAGCGCCCAGCTTTTTGGAGGACTCTGACCATCCAGGTGGGAGGTCAGCTGGGCCAGGGAGCCTGAGGAAGAGGTGTGCGGACTTTGCTGTCGTCCAGTACCGTGGCATCCACGGCTCCACACGCCGCTGGCATAGGCAGTAGCTCGCGTCCCCTGCTGTCCAGAGGCAGCCGATGCAGCTTGTGGGGCTAAAGTTCCAGGTCACCTTGGGGCCCGACTGGCCAGAGGCCAGGGTGCATGCAGAGGCAGGAGAGGATGAGCATGGAATCACAGGCCTCCTGTGGTACATGACATGGTGTGTCTCGGCCCACACGTCGCCCTTCGGGGCCTGAGGAGAGCAGGTTTAAGCCACATGACAGGAGAGCGTTTGGGCTGTGCCCTGGAGTTGGCTCCTATAGAAGTGGCCTATCCCAGCCTCCCTGCCGGGGCAGGAGAGGGGTTAAGGCTGTTTGTTTGAGGCGCTTAAAAAGGTCGGACTGTTTAATTAGTAGGTGGCTCCTCGATGCTGGAGGGTGAATGAGCCCTGTAGGTAGTACTGTGGGTAACCTTGAGGTGACTTTGTTCTTGTCTGCTCTGATACAGGTTTTTGTTTGCTTTTACTTTGTAGTTTTTTAAATTTTAAAGCAGCGACCCGTATCACGGAGGCTCCAGTGCCAGGCCTGGTACGGGCCGTCGCTATCACCTGCCCGTGCCTGTTGGCTCCGCAGCGCTGTTTATTCTCTGCGTACGTGGGGGCCTCCTGCCTCTGCGGCGAGCTTTGTCCCATGCCTGTGACCTGACAGCGTCCTTTCATGCCTCTGCTCAGAAATCCGCCCTCAACTCCACGTCCTCAAACAGTGCTGCAGACGCACCCGCCCGCCTCGCGCCTGGCTTGTTTTCTTTGCCAGTTCAGGCCCCTGTTACCCTGCTTTTCGATGGCCCTGGGTGTTCTTCCTGCTTCAGACAGCGCAGACAGTCAGGTTGTGTGGTGCTGGCTGCTGGGGCAGAGGGGACTCACGGGGTGGGGGCTGCTGAGGGCCTGGGCCGGGCACCTTCCCCCGGGCCTGACGACACGGTGGAGCTCCCGGGCAGGGAAGCCTCCGGGGGGGGGGGGTGGAGTGGAATTTTCCACGTGCGTGCTGAAAGCTGGGTGCTGTTTGGAGGTACGCAGGCTGCTTGGGAGGGCACCGGGGCAGCAGGGCCCTCCCCGGGCTCTCCCTTGACTTCCTCAGGATGTGCCTTATCTCCTGATCACAGCACGGCAGGGCGAGAGCGGGATGGAGACCGGGTCTCAGTGTGCACCGTGGCTGGCAGCACCGGGCCTCCTGGAACGGGCAGCACAGGCAGCCCTGCCCACCCTCAGCCTGGCCCAGGTTCTGCAGGGACTGGGATGGCAGGAGCCACCCATGGAGCCCAGTGTGGAGCCTGACCCGGGTGGTCGTGGGCACAGTCCCACAGTAGTCCCGAGTTTGACTCCGGGTTGTTCTCTCCAGCACAGCTTATCAGAATTTAAAGTTCAGAGTGACCGAATCTTTCTATCATGAATGCAGTACCCACTTACCACAAAGACAGCAGCGACCTCTTTACAAAGATGAGGAGAGGTGGGGTGACTTGGCTTGGTTTCTGTGTCAGGGCCCCAGCACCCAGGCCCTGCTGAGCTCAGCATCCAGCTGCACTGGGGTCTTGGAGCCCTGAGCTTGGAGGGACAAACTGAGGGCCATGGACCCTTGGGGACCTTTCGGAAATAAAGGTCACACTGATGGTTCTGCCTGACATTTGTGGGACATGGGCGGAATCATTTTCTGTCTATGTTCTTAGGTTGATGTCACGGGAAGAGGTCTGTTATTTTTTCTTTTTTGTGATTTGAGGCACTGGGCACGGCCAGCTTGAGGTTTGGGGTGACAAATGCTCTTCTCTCCCTACAGGGGTTGACATGGGTGACGGCACCATTCAAGGCAGCCAGGATTGAGGTCTCTGTGGGAGTGGGGGCCCTCTGCCTTCCTGGAGAACAGGGGCCGGGGCTTGGGGCTGAGCCTCCAGGCTGCCTTTCAGCGCTAACCCCAGCGGCTGCCTCCCGCCTGCCTCCCGGGGTGTTAGGCCCGAAAGTGAGCCCAAGCCCCCTTTGGCTAGATGCTCTGGGGTCATCAGGACAGGACTGTCACAGTGGAAAGAAAAATGTCCCACATGAGATGCTGACCATGGTGTGGGCACAATGCCTGGACCTACTCCTGGGTGAGGTCTGTTGGGTTGGCCCCCCAATCCCCAGTCCCTCCATTTGGCCGCTAGGGCTTGGCATTGCCCCAGCTGCCTGCCCCATGGCCTGGAGTAAATCACCCTGTGGTTGCATTCTATTGCCCTGGGAGCTACAAAAACAATGGTTTTGAGCATGGATTGAGCAACTCTTGACATTTATCATGATGCTGTTTATTTTGCTAATGAAGGGAAGCTGCAGAGACACAGGGAGGGTGCAGCTTGGGAGCCACCTGCCCCAAAAGTCTGCAGCTGCGTGGCCCCTGGCCTGCCCTGTGGGAGACTGAAAGAGGACACGGGGTTCCACGGACACTGGGCACCATCTCCTGCCAGTTCTGCCAGATTCCTGGTGAGGGCCTTGGGGCTCCCCCAGTGCCTGGCCTGCAACTGGCCAGAGCAGTCTGTGCTCAAGTGTTATCATGGTACTCGAGCATTGCCTGCGTTTTAGAACTGTTGAAAAAGGTTACCATGTCCTGATAGGGTTTCAGTTACCTGGAGAATTTTCTCAAGTGGATCCCCACATGCCCCAGTACAACTGACAGAATATGCATGTATTCGTTTGTTCAATCAACAAACAAGCCAGACAAGCGCCGGGGCCTGCAGGAAGCTCTGTGGTTACTGGGGGAAAATCCTAGAGGATTCAGGGTCTTGGATAGGTCCAGTCATCTGTACTGGCCCAGCACTGCAGCCTGAGGATGTGGGGCCCTGCTGGCATGTGGCTCCCACCTGGGACGGGGGTACCTTGCTGGGTCCAGGTCTCCAGAGGGCTGTGAAATGCACCGAGGCCCAGAGAACCAGATGGACTGCACCCTAAGAATGTGCCAGAGACGCCCGAGGGCTGGGGCAGCAGGGCGCATGCGCAGAGGTGCCCGAGAGTTCCTGCAGCGCCATCCGCCTGCAGATTGGGCACTAGCTGGGTCACAGCCTCAGCCTCAGGCTCTCTGTGGGCTGGGGGCCCTCCTGCACCCCTCTCTCGCTGCCTCGGCCCTCCCTGCACACGGGACAGGGCAGACGCCCGGCCGATGCGCCTCGTGGCCCTCCCTCTCGCTCGGTGGGAAGTCCTGGCCTGTCCTGCGTCTCTTCTTGCTGGGCCCAGTGTGTCACCTGGGGAGGCTCAGGCCATTGGAGCCCCTCAGTGGCAGCTTCGCACCGAGACCTTTCCGCTTTGATCTGTGGCCCACAGGCTGCCGTGAGGCTGCTCTGCAGATGCTCAGGGCCACGTGGACAGAGTCTAGTCCCTTCTGAGCCCACTGAGTCATCACTCGCCTCTGGACAGGATCCCCAGTGATTCATGGGCATAGTCAATCTAGGAAGATGGACCAGACAGCAGATGCCCAGAGGACAGGCCTGCCTGGGAAAGGGACAGCTTCGGGGTTTGTGGAAAGCATGTGGGTCACTAAGTCTGCTTCCGGCAACCTTTGGGAGTGCACGGTCTTCCTGTTCCTGGGGCTCCCGCTCCTGACTCACCCCAAAGAGACAGGGTAACAGCGCTCACCTCTGCAGGCTTGGCCATTCCTAGGGTCCCTGTATAGCTCCACGGAGAAGCAGGGCTCATGTCCAGGGTGAGCCGGCCTGCAGGCCGAGGGCCTCCCCTGTGTCCCAGAACTGTCTCA